ATTTCATATTCAAATATTCCTGTGGGGCACGAGTGACTATTTACCAGTCACAGTGCACACAAATATACAAGGTAAGGCACAAAAAAAATGTGTTTGCATGTTTTACACTTTTAAATGATTATTTTTATTCATTTAAGGGTCGATGTCAGTGTCTATTTGATTTTTTTTTTAGGGTTATTTCTGTATAGTCTTGTGTTTTTAACCTTTATTGATCCCTCCAGTTACCTGTTCCTTGTCTTTGTAGCCCTTGTATTGACTGTATAGATGTCCTATTTTCTTTAACTTGTCTTGTGGATTCTGGACTGTTTATCACCTGTGTTACGTCTCCTCGAGGGCAGGAGGGGATAACACAACAACTCCGGAAACTCGGTACAGGTGTTATTAAAAATGTTTAATGGCAGCGCTCTCACAAAATAAATAACCCAAATTCAAACAACAAATGTGGGGGAGAAAGGGACAGTTAGGTTGTGCCAAAAAAAAACACCAAAAAGACAAATCCAAAACTTAGCTGAGCTATTATCCTAGAAAAGCAAAAACAAGAGGGAAAAACCCTAAACCTCAACTCAAAACAAGCTCAAAATTACATGGGTGGCACCAACCTACTTACCTAGTGTTTCTAACAAAAAGACTCTACGTGAGTAAGTGTATGGGGTCCCCAAACTTACCTAGTCTACTTTACTCCCACCACAATTATCAAACAAAAGAAGGACAGCAGAGAAACTTCACGCATGTGCCAAACAATTCAAAGGAGGGAAGAGAGCCACGCCCAGCCACAGGTGAGTCTCCTTATCAAGGTGTGCACTCCTGGATTGTCCAATCAGGGTCTCCCTCCACTAATTAGTTGGATGGCCCCAGATTGACATCAGCCTGCAGTCTGCGACCTAAGGGAACGGCAAACAAAAGGAGGGGGAAAGAAAACATGCAGCCTGCAGACACGTAACAACCTGGGAAATCAACATTAAAGCTCATTTTGAGTTCAATTCCTGCCTCCTGAGTTTGAGTCTATAAATGACTTAATAATCCACAGAGCCATCGATACAAGCAAACAGAACAAAACAAAGCTTCATGCAAACAGACATATTTACTGAACATGAATGTGGGCTACAACAATGTAAAACAGGCTGTTGATGTGTGCACAATTACATGTGGAGACTATGGGGAGAGTTACTGCTGACAGAATTCTGGACAGTCAACTCATTGCTGCTTGTTACAATGTATGCTTCCCTACACAGACCACCTGCATGTGGGTGATGCAAGCAGGAAATCTGACATGGACAAAGATGGAGTGGGTAAAAAACGGTCCCACTCAATGACAATATCTGAGCAGCAGATGATCTCCCAATTTCCTGTACATCACCAAGCACCTGTGGGTGCTGACACTAGTAAGTACAGATAAGAGTTAATGTACATCCACCTTTACTTGGATGTACAAGTTTGCATGCAAGTATTTGCCTGTGCTGCTGTTTGTGTGTCTACTGGTGCATCTCTAGTTTTAATGATTACCATCCATGTAAATGACATGGATGTTTAGGCTGGTAGTAATAAATAAAAATGTCCTTGTGTGATAGTGATACATGATGCCTGGTATTTGTGAATTGACCTGTAACAAAAAATAAACTAAAATCAAACTTGTGCATCCCGTTCTTGTTTTTTAAAGTCATAAAGATGTATTCAGTATAATCATTTGCCTCTGGAAAAACAATGGTTCAGAGAAATTATTAAAATTTATGGATTAAATAGAAGTATATTATGGATTGGTAATGTATGGTGTATATAAACGGACATAAAAAATAAAAAATAATTTTTGTTACAAATATTTCTGTCACACAAGGGCATCTTTATTCATTAATAAAGTTATTATTTATAAAAAAGTTAATTTTGTGAACATTCAATGAATAATTTTATTATTTTTCTTAATTTTCAGTAACACCGGTGCAGCGTAAAGAAAGAAAGAAAGAAACAGACACACACAAGAGAAAAAAAAGGCCACATATATGGGAAGAGTTTTCCGGAAAGGAGGGGGGGGGAATAAAAGAATAGGGTAAATATGGCATATATGAGTATGTCATGGGTCCAAAAAAGACCCAGGTGTACCCCAGATTTAGACAGCTGCACTTGAGTACAGTTTTTCAGCAACGCTGAGCTGCCAGACTCTTCCGAGGATCCTTATTTGCCACTTTACAGGACTAATTATTTATTATAATAATATTTTTATAATTATTCATGTTATTATTATTATTATCCATTTATCAATTATTATTTAATATATATACTTTTACGTATATAGTTAAATTAATTTGGGTCAACAGAAAAGTCAGCTGCTTTTCGGTCCCCCTGAAATCCATGTATCACTCGTACTTCCAGAACCTTACAAAAAGTTGGATCTTATGGGTTTAACATATTCGGTCCATTTTGACCGTTGCTCATAGAACTTGTCACTGTGAATCCTCAAAGTGAATGATATTTTTTCCATAATGTAGATTTCGTTGACTATATTGATGCAGTCCTACTGTGACGGTAGTTCAACCTTTAACCATTTCCTTGTAATGGCTTTTTTGCTAGCAATCAATAGAATTGCCAACAGTCTCATATCAGACTTCTTCCAATTTTGCGTGTTTACATCTCCCAAATATATACACTGAAATAAACAGGGGATTTTAGATCCATAAACATAATTTATATGATTACACATACAAGACCAAAATTACATTACATCCCCAGAAGATATGATGAAGATATAATGATTAGCTCCAGAGGTCCCACAAAGCCTCCAACATGAGTCGCGACCTCCTCGGTGCCTTTTTTGAATTGGTGTAATAAAATATTTCACTAAGTTTCTGCATCCAAACTCTCGCCATGTATTGGAGACTGTTGTGGTCCGCTGCAGTTGACACATTTTTACCCAATTTTCACTAGGGATGAGTACATTGCCCTCCGTCTCCCTCTCTGAATGTATTCAGAATTGGTCTCTTTGCCGTGAACATTCAACTGAAATGCTTGAGTGCTTTCAGAACAATAACAAGACCAATAAATATCCCCAATATTTCTGAGAAAAGATTTTGAGGGTTTAAACTTGAATGATTGTAATTTGGAGATAAGATATTTTATAGATTTATACTGTTACTAAATGTCCTTAAATATGTTCAAGTGCATTTTTGTTATTTTTCTGTAGACATTTTTTAAAAAAGCTGTAAAATGCTGATATTTAAACACTGCTGAAATATTTTTTTTGAAGTCTGAAAAATCCCAGACCTCCAGTGCTAGCAATGAAAAATAACAACAAAAATGTTTTTCTGTTTTTTGATCTGTTTGTACAGCACATCTTAATACGGTTGCCCAAAATGGAAACACCAATTTGGATAAAGCAGGCGCTGTCAGAAAAATAACCAAAGCCAAAGTTGCAGATCCATTAAAGTGGAAGCAAAACAGGCAGAAACAGCTGAGGATGGAGGGAAAATCATATGTAAGCAAACGCAAGAAAGATGGTGAGATTGTAACCAAACACCCGAGAGCCATAGGACCAAGATGCACCTCGGATGCATGCAAAAAAGCGACAAATCGGCTATGTAGTGAAATTACTGAAGAAACAAGGAAGAAGGTGTTCAATGAATTTTGGCAGCACATGAACTGGGCTCAGAGAAAGCTCTATGTAGCAGGACAAGTCGACCGTGACCCTGTGGAAAGATCTCGGGCTGCGGGGTTGCCTTCAAGGAGATCAGTGTCACTTCGTTATCATTTGATGGTGGATGGCAAACGGACACAAGTATGTAAGAACATGTTCCTGTCCACGCTTGGGATTGGAGAGTGGTCTGTGCTCAACTGGGCAACAGAAAAGACTGAATCAAACAAGAGCAAGTCAGACAAAAAGCCAGTTGTGACTGCCCCTCCTGTAGACAGCAACACTGCAGTAGCTACTCAAGGTGAGTGTTTTTTCTTTGACTGTTTATCAGTTACTTTATAAACTCATAGACCTGATTTACACAAGTTTTGGCAGAAGCAATGAGGTATATCTCAATAATGATACGCGCATGTTAATAAAGTTCCCGTGTTTTTACAGAACACATGAACGCAACTGACAAAGACAAAAACAGGCCACCAGAAAAAGAGGGGGCAATCCGAAAGAAATCCAGAGTTGCAAAACCACTAACATGGAAACAAAATCGTCAGAAGCAACTCAGGATGGAGGGAAAACCGTACACCAGCAAGAGAAAGAAAGATGGCGCCGCTATTACTAAAGCTCAAAGGTCAATGGGGCCAAGATGCACATCCGGTGCCTGCAAAAGGGCATCGAACCGCTTTTGTGCTGACTTTAGTGACGAAACGCGGAGTGGGCTGTTCACTGCTTTCTGGCAGTGTATGAACTGGACTCAGAGGAAGGTCTATGTGGCCGAGCTTGTGGACTGTAATCCGGTGGAAAGAACCCGTGCACCGTGGACTCAGTCTAGAAGATCAGTCTCAATGAGATATCATTTGATAGCAGATGGCAATAAAAAACAAGTTTGCAAAAAAATGTTCCTCTCCACTTTGGGGATTGGAGAGTGGTCAGTGCTTAACTGGGCCCAGAATGGCTCCCAGCTAGACGATTCGGAGGAGAACAGTAAGAAGCGAATGCAGAGGAAATCCCGTAAAGCTTCCGAGCATATAGTCCTGAAGGAGTTTCTAGAGCGTTTACCAAAAGTGTCATCTTCCTGTGGTGGAACGTCCATCTCTAAGCTCTGTCTGGAGCCAGTCTTCTCAAACATGTCCGAGGTCTACAGGTGCTACTACAGCCACTGCGTAGATCAGAAGACGGCGCCGCTTTCACGCCAGGTTTTCTGTGCTGTGTTTAAAAAAATGAATTTAAGATTGTGTGACTCCAAAAAGGACCAGTGTTGTTCTTTTGGTGGAACTGGAAACTTGTTTAATGAACTTTGGGAGGAATACTGCTTGGAAAGAGGAGCTCCAGGGCAACAACTTGAGAGAGTCGGTGACCTGTAGACCAGAGGTGTCCAAACTCCGGCCCGCGGGCCAACTGCGACCCGCGATCCATTTTTAATTGGCCCGCAAGTAATTTTACAAATAGAATCGAATATGGCCCGCACTTCAACTTTTGCTTGAGTGTATTGCACTTCTTAGTTTTAACACCAGGGGGAGCTACTGTCGATCAAGGCAGTTGCTCCACCAAAAAGGACAATCACAGAAGAAATTTAGCCCAAGTTACTAAACATGGCAGAACCAAAGAAGCGAAAGGAAAATTTCAGACATGGTGGGAGAGTGAATATTTCTTCAAAGAATTCAAGGGGAAGTGTGTCTGTTTGATCTGCACTGAAATTATGGCAGTTATGAAAGAGTATAATGACCAACGTCATTATGAAACCAAACATCAGGCCTATGCATCCTACACTGGTGCTGAGCGAGAGCAGAAATTAAAGCAAAGGGTAGCTCTCCTGTGGGGTCAGCAACAGTAATTTTTTCGTGCTCAAAAGGTCCAGGAAAAGGCTACAATAGCCAGCTATGAGGTCGCCCAACTCATCGCAAGACATGGCAAGCCTTTTTCAGATGGAGACCTCATAAAACACGGCCTCGTTAAAGTCACCGAAATAATGCGCTCGTCAACAACGTCAGCATGTCCACACCAACATTGGTCTACGGCGTAGACCAATGTTGGTGTTTGTTGCCATGTTAATACCAACTTTGTATTACACACCGTTTGTTTGAGACTTGATGGTGGATCCTTCTTTTATATTTGCACCTCTTGAAGCAGTGTAGTCGTCTCGATGTAGCTGAAACAATTTAAGCACTACGTTTATTTTGAGGCCTCTGAGTGGTTGGTGTTATTTGGAGCATCATTTTGTTAGAGCACAACAAAACTGCTATTTTATCGTTTCGATATGTGTGATGTAAAAGGTCAAAGTCAACTCAAGTGTCAACGTTGATATTTTCCCTTGTGAATTAAATATTAACAGCTACCAGAAGTATTTACAGAATTCTTTCAAAGGCAGAGCAGTCACAGTCAAGCTGTCAGGACTCCGCAGATGTGTGTATGTGTGAAATCATCAAATTCAAACCAATCCGTCTCTTCACGCCCTGCTGCTTTTTACACAATATGAAGTAACGGCTCTCCCAGCAGCTCCCTGAGTCACAGTAAGAATTACAAACACACGCATACACACAAATACATGCACACATGGTTATCGCCCTTCCTTTTCTTCTCCACACAGTGGCAGGAAGTTGTCCAGATATCCGCAGGGCCCTCTGAAAAAAGAGCGAGTGAACAAAGTGGGCTGGGTGGTGGAGTTGGAAGGTGTCGGTGGCAGCGGTGATGGGGATTTGGTGACTTCACTCACAGTTAACTATTCATTCTGAGCAGCTACGGAAGAGCTACAGCGTCGTTTCAGTACGTGAAATAGAGAGTCTCATCTGAGCTTTGGCACATCAGAAGCAGTTTGTAGTGGAGTAATACCGCACAGCTGGACTGGAGGACGGCTTTTTGAGAAGAAGGGGCCAGCACCTGGTGACCGGGACGGCCTGAAGATGATAGCTCTGAGGACGTTTGTTCTTCTGGCACTGAGCTTGACATGTCAAGGTGAGTTACCCCCCTTCCCCATTCAAAGAATTCCTTTTTCTTTTGAACCTACATGAAACACCACCTGCTCAGTGAGTGACCAAACTCAACCCTGTGGCTATATGTCATGATCAGAAAGCTCATTCTGAAAGAAGAGGGGCTTAAAATGCATTCAGTTACAAACATATTTATATTTCTTTCAATGTGTAAAATATTTATAAGTTTACATGGTTTACAAACACACTTGTGTCAAAATGTAGTTCACAGTTATTTCTTCTGTTTTGTTAAAGACAAAATGAAAAGTTTTATTTTTTTTATGTCAGCAGTATATATACATATTTTTTAATCTTTCCTGGCTCAGTTTTGTAAAATTACTCGTATCCAAAAGACTCCCTTTGCTGGCCGAGTGAACGTGGCTAATTACAGCTCTATTGTCTATCCTTTTTTTTTTTCTACCATGACTTTATGGTCCCGCACACACCTGCCAAACCCATTGTCCAACTCCATCGCATTCTTCATTGCCAGAGTAACAACCTTCGACCTTTATCAAGTTCCCGACCCACTCCATTTCCTGTTTCTATTCGTTTCTCCTGGAAACTTCCTGTTTGTGTCAGGCTCATTTCCTGTTCCCTTTAACAGTACGAATCAGGAGCCACCTTTTATGGCTTGACCTGCATTGTTATGAAAAGCTGCTAATGGGTCTGAAACAATGAGTGGATTGAATTTGTGTCTGGAGATAAAAACAGTTAGAGAAAAATGCTTGTACAGTCGTTTTATTTTCTGCAGCTGCGCATAATGTCTGGTTAGATAAGAAATTTAGGACCTCGGATCTATTTTGCTGTACCAGAAAATAGTAAACTGGAGAGCTGTGGAAGTTTATTTACCGGTGACATATCTCACTGCTGATAAAAGCCGTTTAAAATACCCATGTGTGCTTCATTCGAGGACAAAATATTAATTAAAAAGTAGATCTACAAATACTACATCTGCAAATACTCTTTAATTTAGTGAGGAATACTATATCCACGCTGTGTGGTGTAGTGCAGTTTCTTGTTGTTGTTGTTTGTTTGTTTTTTTTCTAAAGTCTAACATGCATCTGTCTCCACAGCTGCATCTGGTGATCCATGGGGCCACTGCCCAGTGAACCGAAAATGTAAGGAAAAGTTCGCAGATGGGTCGTGTAACAGAGAGTGCACGGACCCCGAGTGTCTTAGAGACGGCTTTGACTGCCTGAAGGACAGGGTTCCCTGCAAGTAAAATACTTTTGTTCTTCTTTTCATTACAGCCCTCTGACTTTACAAATATTTTTTAACTTAGTGATAAATTCAAAACAACTTTGACATATATATAAATATAATTTTTTTCAAAATGTTTGGGTGTAGGAACAGATAGATTAACCATATATCATGAAACAAAAAGGTAATAAGATAGTGACGCACTAAACAGTCATAACAGCTTATTTATGCACTGTATTCTAATGCTTCTTATAAATATTTGATCAACTAAGATGTAGTTTGTGGCTCTTCTTTTTAAACTGAGGTAATATCACCTGTTCTTCTTCATCTTTTCCTCATTTTATTGCGGTAATACATTACCTTTTATTTTTATGTTAAAGAAAACCTTATGGAAAAGAAACTGGGCCAAGAAATACAAACAATCAATGTAATCTAAGAGTAAAACTTGTTGATTATTACTTTTATAATCATTTATGGAAGTTTAGTGTTCAGTCTTTTAAAAAAAATGAAACTATAAAAAACCACTAATACAAACTACAAAACTAAAGAGTGTCTATAAAAGTAGAATAAATGAAAACATTAAGTAACCTTAGTACAAGTAGTCTGTTATCTGTTACTCTTCACCATACCTTGAGTTGAGATTATTTCTTAGATCACCTATTCTTTTTTTGTTTTGTTTTTCTCCACTCTCACCATGACTCTCAGCCCGGGCCACATTCACTACTGCCGTGATCATTTTGCCAACTCCCTCTGTGATCAGGGGTGTGATAGCGCGGCCTGTGGATGGGACAGCAGCGAATGCTTCAAACACCAGAGCCCCCTGTGGGCTAAAGGCACCCTGATCCTACACACTCGAATCCCACATCAACGTGGCAACTCGTTCAACAGCTCCGTGCTCTGGGCACTCAGCGTCCTCCTCCTGTCACCGCTCAAGCTGAGAGACTCTGTGCCCCTCGCCACCACCAGGAATTTGTTCGACTTTAATGCTCAGGAGCTTGCTAACATGCTGGCACAGGCGTCACCAGCAGACTCAGATGGGTGGGTACTGAGACAAATGTTTCTGGCATTGTGATTAGGAGTTTCAAAAACAGTGCATGTTCTTTGTTTAACCTTTAAGTAACAAGAGTACGGAAGAGGATTTGGGACACTGGAAGAAGAAAAAAAGAATTCTGACTTTATTCTCAGAATTCTGACTTTTATTCTCAGAATTCTGACTTTTTTTCTCAGAATTCTGACTTTAATCTCAGAATTCTGACTTTTTTTCTCAGAATTCTGACTTTAATCTCAGAATTCTG